TAAAGTATCATTTGCGTGGTACTTTTTTTTTCTATAATAATACTTCTTTCATACTTTTAAGTGATAATTAATTAAATAATAATAATAATATCATTTACTAATTAATAATTTATGATAACAATTGGATAATTGGTTGAAATGATTTCAATTCATTTCTTATTCAATTTAGCTAGACAGAAAATTGAATATTTTTGAAACAATTCCTCTGAAAATAAATTTATTAAAGTGAAGTACGACAACTTTTTTCCTGTTCTTCACTCAATCAAATTTAATTTCCGAATTGAATTTGATTGACGTTTTTTCTTTTTCAAAAATATCAAAATAATGTATGCATTTAAATTTAATAAAATTGGACCTGAAATGAATTAAATTCAATTAAATTCAATCAATTTAATTTCCATTTCCATTTCCATTAATGGTGCTTGTTTCATTGAATATCATTATTGTTTTCAAAATAAAATAAGCACTAATAATTTAAAATATATTAGCTGATTAAAATTTGTATCAGTTGTTATATTATTATATTACTTTTAAGTTTTTCCTTTTCTTTTGCATTCCGTAACATAATTGGAATTAAACTTTCAGCAAGCAGATTCCAAATTTCAACTTCCAACTGCTTAACATCATATTTAAAAAAAAATGGCATGCAAGTGCTAAAAATGCTTTAATTTTTTTTTCTTTTGTTTCTTTTTTTTTAACTCCAATTTTTGTTATGTTAGGATAATTTTCTTTTTTAATGCTTTCCTGCAAAATGCCAAAAGATGCATCTTTTTAAATAGAAACATGTAACAATATTTAGTGATAAATGTAGTTTCATTCGTTGATAAAAATATCAGCAAATTATCAGTTACTTTTTGGAATGGAAATATTAATAAATCATTAGTTACTTTTTGGAAAAAAAAAATAATAATTTGTCCGTCTGTCTAAAATATTTTCCTTACGTACTTGATATTTTTGAAATTTGTAATCAGTAAACATGATTGCAAAACAAGTGATGCAGTAACAAACGAAGTTAATAGTACTTCCTTATCATGATTGAGATGAAAAAATCATTTATAAAATGAAAAATTAAGTAGTAATAAAGCAAAAGAGAGAGAAAGTGAGAAAAAAAGAAAGAAACGAGTTGTTGTTATCTATTATGTTTGCTTGTTCTTACCACCAATTTTAATTAAAATTTGCAAATAAAAATTGCTTTTAAAAAGTTGAATTTGAAAAACTTTCAAAAGTTCTACTCATTTTATTTTCCATTCTTTTGTTTTGTTTTGTTTTGTTTTTTTTTTTTTTTGTTGCTCTAATAATAATAATAATTATTTCTTTGTTCTGTTCAGAAAAAAAAGAAAACGAAAAAAAGAATTAACTGTGTGTAATTATTAAATTTATCTAATGAAGTAGAGAAAAGCATAAAAAAGCAAAAAAAAAAGAAAGAAAGAAATGCGTATTTAAAAGAGAAATTGAATTAATTATTATTTGCGCATCATTTTTATCTTTGGTTTTGTTTTTCAGAAGCATTCATTAAAAGAAATGATGCTACTTTTGCGCTTCAGCAAACTTTCATGGCGCTATCAGCAACTGCTTCTTGCACTTCTTTTAGCAGCAACAATATGTTATGCTACTCCAATGAAATATAAATATGATCCATTTGTGATGGATGTTAATACATTCCTCCATGCAAAACGAGAATCCGGTCTTCTTTCCGCTGGCGCATTAATGAATGATGATGATGAGAGTAGCATCAGGAATATTACCGCTTTAGTCCGTTCTAAACGGAGCTGTTGCGGTTGTTGTTGCTGTTGTTGTTGCTGGCATGTTTCATATTTAATTTTCATTAAATTTGATGAATGGAAATTTGCTTGAGAATCAATTTGACAATAATATCCAAAAATACAATTTTTGAAAGTACAGAGAAGTAGTCAAAAGTTAACCTGGATTACAAACATATACTTTCAAAATTCATATATTCCAGATTTAAACTTAATATCATCTTATCAATTAAATCATAAATTAAAAGTTAAGAATAATTGAGTTATTGCTACTAATCCTATTACTATTATTATCATTATTGCTAGCTATTATCATAGCTACTACTACTAATAGTATAAAAATCTCAACCATACATATTAATAACGTAAAAATGTATGAACTAAAAAAAATTTTTTAATATTTTAACTTCTAATTATTGCTCATCCAAAGTTTAAATAATAAAATTCTTTCAAGTAAGTGGTATAAGAAAAAAAAATTGAAACGTATTTAATAAATTTTCAAAAATTAATTAATATCAGTTATCTTAAGCTGCTGCTGTTGTGGTAAAAAGAGAAAGCGATCAGTTAATGGAACAGAAATAGGTCAAGGATCATTGTCAAGACGTCGTCGTGCACTTCATGATCTGGAAAGATGGAACTATATGCAAAATACGAAACAGAATATTCGTAGTGCTCTTCTGGAATTGATTTAAATATCAGAAAATTAATTGTAACTGTTGCAATTATGAGTGAAACTTACTTTAAAATATTCTTTTGATAAAAAACTAAATGTAACTTTGATATAATTTTATTTCAAATTATATCAAAGATTTTTTTTCTCTCTTGAAAAAGTATGATTTTAGTTCTTCAATTGAAGTACGAAAAAAAAAACCTATAAAATTTGTCTTATAAAACTTATCTTATTCACTAATATTATTTAAATCTCATTAAAGTTTTCCTATCAGTACTGTTCATTTCATAGAAACTTACCTGCCAATATTATCACGTGATAATAATTATTAGTCATTTGATAATGAAATTAAAGATAATGAATTTGTCCAGCAAGTATTGTTTATTTTACAAAAACTTCAATGCTAACATTGTCTGCCTTATAAAAACTTACCTGCCAATATTTTAGGTTTTATGAAAACTTATCTGCCAATATTTTCTGCTTTATAAAAACTTATCTGCCAATATTTTCTGTTTTATAAAAACTTATCTGCCAATATTATTCCTGTGATGATAATTATTAATCATTTGATAATGAAGTCAAAGATAATGAATGTATTCAATACTTCATGATGTAATGATATGCAAAATTCAATTCAATATATATTGTATTTCCATTTAGCTTTTTTCTAAATATAAATTTTTCCTATCCAATATGTCTTCTTGTCTTAAAAGCATAATTCATGCATTTAATTTTTGAAAGGGTAAAATACTCTGTAAAGGTCAGCAAACTGTAAATAAAGGTCAAGAGAAAAATAGCATATGAACAAACCTAACAAAATAGCTCGTTAATTTCAATTATTTAGTGAAGAGAAATTCTATGAATGAAATTTAACTAAATGATTTTATATTACATATCTTTAAGCTCTTCGAATTGAAACTAAGCACTCTCTCTCCGAAACAATATTAAATAAATGTTTGTTTTATAGTTTATTATTTAGCGAAAGAAATAGGACACAAAAATCGAATGAAGTTTTAATCGAATCTTTTGTATTTAAACTTTTGCTATTTTTGAAAATGATTTGCTTATATATAATATTCTTTTCTATGAAATGCATATAAATTTTATATTTTTTAGTTCGAATTTCTGAAAAACTTTTATACATTATATTTCATTGCTGAGGAAAAGAAATTCAATTATTTTTTTTGTCAGTTGAAATTTGAGCTAAATTTGAATCAATTTTATTGCTGTAAAACAAATCTTATTTGCTTACTTATTAAGAAATAAATATAACTTACTAACCGCAATAGCATCATATCTCTTTTACTAAGTTTTAAATTTTGAATACAAACTGAAACAAACGCACCTTTGGTTTTAAAATCAAACCATCAATGCAAAAGAATGTAATAAAATATATTTTAAAAAAATTTCTCATCTTTTTTTTATTAATTAAATCTTTTTTTTATTAATTAAGTCTAAAAAAACTTTAGACTACAATTAGTTCTGATTAACTTTAATCTAATTATTCTGTTATTTCATATTGATATTAATATAAAGTACAAAAACAGAAGTTACTTCTTGCATATGGGTACTATTTTAATCTAAAAAACCACTAGTTAATTCTAATCTTCTAAAGCTGCTAATATATTTGATATTTGAAAAAATTTCAGCAACTTGAATCCTTTTAACAGGTAAAAATAGTGTAAAAAAGAAATTATAACAGATAATCAAAGAAAATTTCTTCACTCTTCTATTTTTAAAGGTTTTACAATTATTTTTTCAGTATTTGAATTTTGTTTTATTTTGGTTTAAAACTTTGATTTAAAAATAAACTGCATTTATAAATTATACATTAGTAATATTCTGAAATTAAAACATTTGAGAATAGATGAAAGAAAGAAATATATTTAGTTAATGGACTATTGCCTTAATAATTGCATAATTCAATTTTATGAACTTGTTTATTTGTTTGTTTGTTTGTTGTTTGACTTACATGTTTATTTATTTACTTATTCATTCATTTTTCCTCTTTTAATGATTAATATAACCTCTTCATCATTTATTCACCTCATTTGTAAAATAAATATTAAACAACCATAACAAAAATAACAAATGATAGGTAGGAAAGAATAACAATAATAATTAGCAATAATAACAATAATAATAATAATAATAATAATAACAACAACAACGACAATGACAATGATGAATACCAAATCCAGATTGGAATATTAGCGATTGTAGCATCGTTGATGCTTAAGTGTATGATAATTGAAAAGGTAAATGTAAAATTTTAAGACTGGCTTATTTCATCAAAACAACATTAAAATTGATAATAGTAGAAGATGAAATAAGCTTCCATTATAATTAAAACATTCCATATAAAAGGAACTAACAAAAATTAGTGGAAGTCATTCAAGTTAATTGCAACTTTTATCCATCTACAAATCTTTCATATTTACTTCTTATTTTCCTACTTTTCAATTTTATTTAGAAATAATTTTACATATAAAAAAGTAAAGAAAAGCCCACTCATTACTGATTTTCAGAAAAAAAAACAGCTGATAGAAGAATAAGTTCTGTTGTCCAGAATGCGGAATTGGTTTATCATTTTCCTGATCTTAAGTATTTCCATCAACACACATCTAACAAGAGCTAAAACGACAACTGCACCTAGACTGAAGAATGATCGCGCAATTGCTCCAAATCTAGAAATCGATGGTGAATTTGCAACTGTTCTAGATGATGCCATCAGATTAGCAGATGTGGAAACTGAAATTCAACGTGATTCTCTAATTCCAACTTCTGATTCGAAAATAAAACATGAGCTGGAGCATAATGCAGATGGAAGTGGACGAACAAGGCGCAGTTGCGGTGGTGGTGGAGCAGGTTGTGGTGGTAGTTGTGGGTGCGGATGCGGATGCGGATGCGGATGTGGATGTGGTTGCTGCCAGCGATCATGTTGTAACTCATGTACCACTTGTACCACAGTTACAACGTTTGTTTTCTACCAGAATTGCTAATAACAGTTTCTTTAATCTTTTTTATTATATAAAAACATATGTTTATAAGTATGACGAGAACCAATCAATCCAATTTGCAAAGTTTACGCAAATTCAAATAGCTATGAATGTCTTACTGACAAAGTGTCATTGCGTACTTTGATATTACTCCACTGTTTCAACACGTTATTTCTCGTTATTCTCCTGAAATTATCAAAGATATTATAAAGAGCTCATAATAAAAGTTAAGCATGAAAATCGCAAGCAAATATTTTTTAATTTTTTTTTTAGTTGTTGCAAAACATGTTGTCAACAGTGTAATCAATCGTGTTGCGGATGTGGTGGATGTGGCGGAGGAAGTTGCGGTAACGACGGATGCGGTAGTGGTCATAGGCGTAAAAAGCGAAATATCATGGAGCTTCTAGGAGGACATTTGCTACGTGACAAACGCTCACCGGTATGTATCACAAAAATAAATACGACAATAAATAATTCTATGTATATTTGGCATTGTATTTAATTACTTTTTAATACACTTTCAATAATTCTATAATTAATCAAATTTTTTTTCTTTTTGAAAATTTGATTTAGCATAAAGTGCAACAGTTTCAGAAGAATAACCGTAGGCGTGCTACTGATGGTGTACCAATCAAGAAAACATTTAAGGTATTAATTAATAGATAAAGTTAACTTTCGATAGCACTAAAATTTTATTTTCAAGATATTCCATAAAAAAAGAAGAAAAAAACCATATAAAATCATTATTGATGCATATCTGAAACATTAGTATTATTTTGATTGGCTAATTTAGTATGTTATTCATTTACGGTTATACTTAAACACATTAAATCCAGGTACTTAAATTATTTTATATCGAATTTTACTAAAATTTACCATCATAAGTTATCAGATTGTATTGAAAAATTTAAAACTCGAATGCATTGATAATGATTTTATTTTAGCACTAATCTTTAATAACTAACTTGTAGAATTCAAACTACTACCAGATAATGCATTTTAGGATTGCTGCTGCTAAACTCAGGTTCACAATCAATTATAATCAGTAGCAGAAGTCAACATTCGGAAAAAAAAATTATGATTCAGGAAATTTCTGATGTAAATAGTGGAAAATGTTAAAATTGAAATTTCAGAATTTCAGCTTGACTTAATGCGTTTCAAGTATTACTATAAAAAAAGAAAAAAAAGTGAAGTTCCAGTAAATTTATATTTCAATTATCTAAAATATTAATAATTTGTAAAGAATAAATCATGCATGTTTCATTATTCATAATAAATTTTGCCATAAATTTTATAACCTGTCCATGATGTTTGAATAACGACCAAATAAACAAATCTGGTTTTAATTAAAATCAACACATAATGTCGGGCAAACTGTTCAGAAGAATAAATTGCAATTAAAGCTTATTAAGACATTATTCAGTCAAATCGTTAACAGTATAACTGTACTGTCCCAATGATTTCAGTTCATTTTTTGTTTAAAACAAAAATGAAAACAGCATCTTGATCTTGAAAAACAGTTCTCTAAATAAAATCGCAAGAAAAGGATTCATATAGAATACACTAAGTTAAAATGAGGTTAAAAGAACTCATTTAATCTCTCGTAAGTCTTTTATCGGTTTAACATTAAAAACTAAAAACAGTGTACAGTATCCCGAAAGTACGCTAATTAATTTGCATTTCTTCAAATGTTCAAAATTTGTTTACAATTGTTCTGCGACAACTACAATTTTTTTTTTTCTTTATTAATGAAAGTAGAATCACATTTTACTAAATCAAACATTCATCCAGATGACAAGGAAAAAAAAGCGGAAGAAAAATATTGAATAATTCATCAATAAACTGGGCAGTAATTAGTTATCCATTTAAAGAGTTGGAGTGACGGCGCTAAGAGTCATTCATGAATCCACAACCAAGTACAAATACACTTTCCATGCGGTTTCGTTATTAGGTAATCAACAAATCAGTGTGACTATGAATTAGTGTAATAAAGAAACAGGAAAAAAAGGGAAGAAATGTCCTAACAATTACAAAAAAGTAGCAACATATTTTAAAACCAGTATAGGTAAAGAAATAGATAAAGGTTTAAAACCTGTACAATCATCGTGAATCATTAAAAGCATACCAATCAATTCAAAAGAGAAAATTGAAATATTTCATACTTTGCTCTGAACATTTTTTTTCTTAAAATTCTTGTTATTTAATTTAAATCAAATTTCTGCATAGATTTATCGGAAAATAGACTTTGGTGGATAACAAAATTACAACTTACTGCCATTTATTTAAGCTTGAGATAACAAATAGATATTCATACATCAGAACTGGCATTTATGATTAGAAAATCTGGATATTTTTATGAAATATATGTCGAATTCAATTGAAAACGATCCATATTATTAAATATTAACATTTTCCACGAAAGAAATATATCTATATCTGTATAACATAAGCATACAAAAACCCACACTTAAATTTCAAAAATATGTAACACAATTATTGAACATATCACCATTTCCATAAAAAAATTTTATCCTAATCTTAGATTGGACTAGCAGGAGAATCAGTAGCAACTGATCGAACGCTCTCAGTTGGTTTTGTGGACGGTAGTGGATCTTCAGGGGGTGACCTACGCTGATCCGCATTTGTCACTGATTCCATGCCCTTCAGAGTCTCCATGTCACATTGTCGTTCTGCTGTAAGATGATGTTCCTGCAACTGTGGTTTGATATCAGTCAGTTGATTTTCAACACAGATAACATGCTGGTCATTTCGTTCTCGATCATCTCCTCTCAACCGTCTTTCGAAATGTTCCTCTTGCTCGCATTCATGCATTACACGTGGACTACCACGCCTACGACGATCAGGTGAATATGGTCGTCTTTCGAACGGACTCGCTGACCTTGACCTGAAAAAAAAAAGCCAACATTCGATAATCAGATATATATATATATATACAAATATTTTTTTCTAACACTTTGATTCTTTTAACAAATCTCAAGAAAGCATAATAGCAACACAAGGATTATCAACCTTGATCGACTTCTGCTTCTTGATCTCGACGAACTTCTCCTCCGTCTCCTTCCATAGCGATCATGTACACGACGATCATAGTCATACTCCCGTTCCCTGTCACGATCTCTTTCTCTGTCGCGATCATAAAATCCCCTACGACCCAATGAAGGTCCACCACGTCCACGTCTGAAACCGAGTCATATTAACTGATTTTTCTTAGCTCATCGTAACTTATATAATTGTTAAATAAGGCTTAAACAATTCGTTAGACAGCTTGTTCAGAAATGAAGCAATTGTGTTAAATTCTGCTAATTACTTTTAAACTTTGAAAATATTTTCCTTCTCATACAACTTATGACTATTTGAATACTTCAGTAATATACAGTGTATGTCATACCTATATCCACCATCTGCTCCACCTCGACGTGAACCACCTCTAAACGGCTGACCACCGCGTCTAAAGCTTCGTCCTCGTTCATCACTGTAACCGTACCCTTGGGTACCCACAGTTGGTTCATCACCATGCGCAAATCTGCATCTCGTACCGTAACTACATGTACCCGATTGATAAAATGTGCACTGTTTGACTGCTGCAAAAAAAATGTTTATTAAAAACAACAACAATATACCTTAGTAATCTTTACAGTTCTGATTTTTCCTTCCACTGCTGCACAGTGTTGACGTCAATAATTGGAAGGCTTCAGAAATTTCAAGAATACAAATAGGAAGCTTACCAGTACGACCGTAAGCACCATAAGATGGAGCTTCAGATGTAGATGGACCACTTTGAGTAGTCAAATCTACACCTATTGTTGGTGTAACTCCAGCCGGAACTGGACCATTCAGAAGAGGTTGCTGTTGCTGAACCGGAAGTATATATTGACCTGCTGATAATACAGGTGGCATTGGAAGTCTAAAAAGTACTAAAATGTTAGGTCAAAATTTTTGATAGTTTAAAATGGAATTTCAAAATGAACTATGTATATGAACTCCTAAAGAAAATATTTTTATAAATAATAAAACTTAAAAAAAAAAAATTTAATACCCATGAGCAAAACGAGGTGGCGGTAAAGACATATTCAGAATATTTGGAACGGCGGAATGTGTTGTTAACTGAGCATACGTTGGAGTTGTGGTCACAGGGAGTTGTGATGCGGAAGGAACTGATGTTGCTATTGTACCAGTAACAGCAGAAGTAGTTGAAGATACTTTATTGAGTATGCTTGTTAAATCTGAACTCGAACCAACAAGGCCCATCTTTTTTAGTTCAGTCATTAATTTCTGCAAAAATTTCATTGCTTTCATTTATATATGCTTTTAATAGATAAGAATTAAATATTAATTCAAGAACAGCTATCCTTAAAACTTTTGAAATTAAAATAAACATGTAACGAATTTAACAAATTTGATCACTTACTTGGACATCTATTTCTTTTCCTTCACTCTGATTATGACTTGCTGAACCTCCAGCAGTGGTAGCAGCATCCTAAAAAATATCAAATAATTAATACGCAACAAAAATACTGAGACCTTCATGATTTGAAATTATGTAACAATAAATTAAGTTCAGAAAATTACCTGATTAAGATCTTCATCATCGGCTTCAGATTCCAAAGGTATTTCGGTTGGTGGTAATATAGCACCAGTTAACAACTCTGGTTCAGCATCCGCCAATTCGGCTGGCCTAATAATTATCATTTTCAACTTTCAAACAACGACAGCAAAAAAACAGAAGCAATATTTTGTCCGTACCTCCCCACGTTTCACATAGTAACAAAGTAAAACTTACAACGAGGGATCATAAAATGGCATCATAATAGTCTTTTGCCGCTCTTCCTCAATTTTTTTCGCTTCACTCTGCGAACCTCGACGTTCAAAAAATATAGCATCCGTAAGCGGTATCAATTTCCACTGAAAATTTTATCAGCTACAAAAAAGTTGATCTTATTCATCACAACATTGACTAATTTCTGAGAAGTTGAAGTCCTACATAATATCAAAGATCTTGAATTGTAAACTTTATCAGCTACTTATCTACCTACCACACCAACATGAAAGGACCAATCTAATAGATGTTGCAAATAAATGTAGAACTCTACAAGTTCCACAATTCCAAAGTTCACTGATTACTAAGATTTTAAACAACATTTGAAAGTACTGGAAATCCCAATAATCTTTAAACATTCCTCAATATTTAAATCACATTTGAAAATTAAAAAAAAAAAACAAAAAACATTAGCTATACTGGAATATGAGTGATTCCTTCCGAACGACCAGTATTGAAGCCAAATTCAGTTATATGTAGGCTGCGTTGTTCTTTCATAAATGTTCGTTCACGTTGCATTTCGAGGTGCTTCATGTCTTCAGACGACAATTTGCTAACATTTACTGAAATTTGAACTTTAAAATTGCTATTCGATCTGATGGATCATATAAGAATCAGCTAAGTGAATTTAAACCAACAGTATTAAGAACAAATATATTAATGAAACAAAAGTAATTACAAGTTGAAATTCTGTTTCTAAATTAGGGAATGAACTTACTAATCATTTTATTAGTCATGCAAATTGTGACAATTATATTTTTCTCATATAATTAATCCTACTCCCAGATTTAAAATACAGCAATTATGAAAAAAAAAAAAAAAAAAAAAAACTAACATCTTTCACCCTCTTCTACTTCAAAATACCGAACTTCAACAAGCTCCTGTCCATTTTCATCAGCGAAACGTATCTTTCGATTACCAATTGGTACAATGTTTGGTTCTTCCACTATCAATTCTTTTTTTTCCTCTACCGATCCCTCGTCCTGTTTTTCTTTATTAAGCGATTTTGAGGTATCACTATACAGTCCCTCCTAAAAAGAATTGTTGTTAAATGATTTTTCAAAATAAAAAAAAAAAAACCTAAAAATCAAAATTTGACTTCGAACATAATCACAAATTATGACTATGATTGCGTAAAATTAGAATGACGACTTCTCTTCTATAAAGATGTAGGAGTTTTA